CACAATTAAGCCACACAAAGTAGACATAGGTTCGCAAATATACACCATTTTAAAATTTCCAGGGTTTCGTAAGATTCACGATCTTATATCAAGGAAATTTTCAAATGGGTAAGGTCTAGGTATTCTAGGGACTTATCAATACAACTAGGAGGATAATCAACAAAACAGTTTCACTCACAATATATCACAAACGGTAATATGCTGTAATTAATCAAAAGAGCAAAAACACATAGCAAACGAAAAACAAGTTAATTCCTAATTTCTAGCACAAGCAATGGTTACCCCACACGGTAACCCCAATCATATTGTCACCACACACGATGACGCGCTAGTGCTGAAATTAAAGGAGGATCAGCCAATTTACAAGTTTCTTCATTTATTTTGGCACCATAATTTCAACTCAAATAGTCATAGGTTTACACCTCTTACACAATTAGGCAAAAATTGCACCAAAGACTTCTCCACAATATAAGCCAAATGAATTAAATCTTAGCGTACACGCAATAGTAAATGATCTTTGCATTCATTTGTACCTGGTCAGTTAATAGAAAAGTTTTTACTAAGAAAGAGGAACCTTACCTCCACTAGGATAGAGAGTTGTACTTGCATTTGAACTACTAAATACACAATCTAGAAGATGTGGAAATGTACAATCTAATGTAAGGGTCGTTAGGAAAATGTTAAAAATATATATTTTGAACTATATTAATCACATTTTCTTAATATGTGTGAAAATAAAAACAAAACTATATTTATTATACGGAGGGAGAGTACCATCTTTTGATAGCTACATTAATAAGAATAATGATATTTATAATGAAAATTACCGATAGTCGTCCTATGCATACACGTGGTAGTTTGTTATTTGATGCATTGATATGATAATTTTTATTGCCTCATGCATCAAATAACAAATTGATATGTGTATGTCACATAAGGTGATTATCGATAGTTTTTACTTATTCATGGTAGCCAAATGTGCACATTATGTACATATGAAAAAACTCTAAAATGGCAGGCCATTTTTACCTGCTGTCATGTTTCTATATATAGTGAACAAATGGTAATGCAAATAACATTTAAGTACTCCTAAAAGTTTCAAATTCAAGAAATGGCATTACCTATTGGAGAACAATCTATTGAGCTTTTACAAGCTCAAGCTCACGTTTGGAACCACGCGTTCAACTACGTGAACTCTATGTCTCTCAAATGTGCAACTCAACTAGGCATACCAGATATCATCCACAGACATGGCAAACCAATGACACTTCAAGAGCTAGTCGATGCCCTCCACATCAACAAGGCAAAAGCACAGGCTGTGTACCGTCTGATGCGGATTCTAATTCATTTAGGGTTCTTCGTTGAGGAGAAGATCTCTGGGGATGATTCAAATATGGGATATTGGCTTGCACAAGCTTCACGTCTCCTCCTCAAAGATGACGCCTTGAGTGCACTACCATTTTTACAAATCCTTCTCGATCCGCTCTTGATAAAGCCATGGCATCATATGAGTGAATGGTTTGAAAATAATGAGGACTCGTCTGCTTTTGAGACGGCCTACGGAAGGACATTTTGGGATTATGGAAGTCAGGAGCCGAAGATGAATCACTTATTCAATAAAGCAATGGCTAGTGACACACAGTTGGTGAGTAACGTAGTTACTAGAGATTGCAGACAAGTCTTAGAAAAGTTGAAGTCAATTGTGGACGTTGGTGGCGGTACGGGATCAATGGCCAAATCTATTGTCGACTCTTTTCCAGACTTGCAATGTGTCGTGTTTGATCTTCCACATGTTATTGCGGGCTTAGAAGGGACAAAGAATTTGACCTACATTGGAGGAAACATGTTTGAATCTATTCCTCATGCGGATGCACTTATGCTCAAGGTATGGAATTTGTTTTTACATATATCTAGCAAAATTGGAACTTTTACATTATTTTGTAACTGATTTTTATTAATATTGACTATTCAAAATACTAATTTGCACGGTACTATTTTTTTTACAGTAAAACTATTTAACTGTATTGCCCTCAAATTTACTTACGAAATATTTTTTCAAACAACGGTGACCTGATATTTGTAACGAACAGTGTATATTGCATGACTGGAGTGACGAAGATGCTGTGAAAATATTGAAGAAATGCAAAGAAGCAATCCCAAGTAAGGAGAATGGAGGAAAAGTGATAATTATTGACATGATTGTCGGAAACAAGAAAGAAGACCATGAAGGAATTGAAACTCAGCTGTTCTACGATATGTGCATGATGGTTTTTGCCAATGGAAGAGAAAGAACTGAGAAAGAGTGGGCAAAACTGTTCTTCAATTCTAGCTTTTCTGGATACAAGATTGTATATGGATTAGGATTGAGGTCTGTTATTGAGGTTTATCCTTGATTATATTTCAAGACAGGAAAAACGCAGAAATTGAAAATCTTTTAAATTCGTATAAAAATAACTTCGTTGAATGCCCGCTATGAAATTTGCTGGTCTACGAAGAATATTGTCTTTTCGATTCAAAATTAAATTTTCAAAAATAATATGATACAAAACCCTAATTCAAGATGTTGGAATCTTATCCTACTTAAAAGAATTCTTGTTCCACTTTTTCCTATATTTCCTTGTATACTCTCTTTGTACCCTTTGGAGCCGGTGTCAGAAATAGTAGCTTTTACGCGTTTACTTGCTCAATCTAAATTTGATGTATTCCATTTTCTTTGTTCTATATATCTTTGAGGGATGTGCGATTAAAACCCAATTAGCAGAAAGAACATTCTTCCCACCCGAAATTGGAAGCGTTGCAAATATATACAGGGGCGGACGGAGAACTTAAAAGTTAGAGGAGCACAATCGAACTTGTAAAGAAGTTGAGAAAAATTTTACAATCGAAAATTTATGTCCAAAAAAATCATGCCCCATGTAATTTTACATTCGAAAATTTACATGGGATATGAATTTTGCGGATGTAAAACTTCGAAATTTTTTTATGTCATATTTCATATAAAATTTCCTAATAAAATGATGAAAATTACATTGAGAAATATGTATCGCAAAAATATTAAATATCAATGAAATAATTGAATTAAAAAAAAAAGAGGGTTAGATGTCTTTTAAGACTCACGTTTAACGTATTTTTAACTATTTTCAATATCTGTTTGGACTATTCGATATGCCCATAATGTAGTTCTCGAAATAAGTTTTGAGATGACATAAGGAATTTGTAGATTCGATTAGCGTACGATCGTCTGTAAATTTTTAAAATTAGCNAAAAAAAAATCTCAAAAGTTGGGAGACACTTGCCTCCAGAACCCCCCTAGGTCCGCCCATGAATATATATATAAGATGAAATCGAAGTTATGAGATTCCATAGGACAATGAAAGCATTGGAAATCCAGAGAGTTTATATATAATAGATATTTTTTCACGTTAATTTACCTCTCAGGCAAATGACTGATTAATAAGATTTATTAATACTATTAATATAAACCTCTTCAATCCCAATACAGGGGTAATCTTGTAGTAAGTGAAGCCGGCCTCATAGAAGAGTTTTGCCCACTCTTTTTCATTTCTCTCTCTTCCAGTGACATGAACCATCATCTCCATATCAAAAAAGAGTTGGGTTTCAATGGCCTTGTCGTCACTTTGCCGTCGTCCACTATCATGTCAATAATTATCACTTTTCCTTTATCATTGCCGGAAATTGCATCTTTGCATTTCTTCAATATTTTGACACCTTCATCATCGCTCCAATCATGCAATATCCACTACATGTTTGTAACATGAGTATCATAAAATAAGCATATCAACTCAACTTATACAACTCAAAAAAGTCAACAACATTAATAAATTTTATTTGTTATCTGTGATAGTGAACACGAAAGAAGACACTTCATAGCGAAACCTCATTGATACATAAGTTGGTCTTAAATATCACTAATACTAAATAGCGTTATTTTTAATGAAATTGTGTGGCTCATTTTCAAGCATAATTTTTGAATAAAAAGAATACTTTTTTAGAAAGCACATTTTTATAACCAATTTATTAATATACTAGTATATTTCATTTCTTGTCACCCTTTTCATTAATATTCAATTTATTGTTTCCAATTTTTGTGATCCAGTGTGTGTTGGATATTCTCATGGTATTAGCTAATGAGAATATTAATAGAACTTTATTTACTTTAAATTTCAACAATAATAAACTATATAGATGTAAAACATGTACCTATAGTTCCACATAAAAATATCTGTAACATTTGTAAATTAATAATCTCTACATATAATAAAAAAAATTATGGTCAGATTTGAGCCAATGGAATAAATCATTAACGTTAATGTTTTTTTCTTAAAACGTTTACATAAATATGTGGTCCCATTTAAATCATCAATTAATAATTTGC